AAAAATAAAACCATGAATTCCGATAAAGCGATGAATTCCGCTCAAAATTTGACAGTAATCAGCTGAAAGATGCTACTTGTCAAAAAGTAATGTGAGTGTCAAAAAGTAGTGCGAGTGCCCTCTGACAGATTTTCTAAGAATTTATTGATTTGCCCTCATAGCATAACCTAGATCCAGATAGCACGGAGGTGAATAGAAGTTCATAGAGAATTAAAAAGAAGACGTACAGAATTAGGAAAATGAATATCTGAAGAATTTTTGAAGAATTGACTACAATTAGTTCATCTTGAAGTGTTCTTCAAAAATTCATTACAATGAACACTTCGCGACTTACTACTTTGAATCCCCGGTGAAAATTTTTCTCAGAATTTTTCATATAATTTTTCAGAATTTCTATAAAATTTTTTAGAATTTCTATATAATTTTATAACTTTCTCACATTTTTTATACGAATTGGAACAGTTCTCAGAAAATCTACATTTTTTCTTCAGAATTTTTCATATATGTTAATTATGAAATATTGTAAGATTTCTAAGATTTTTTGTAAGTATAATTTCTGATGAAATGTTATAAAATCTATAAAATTTTAAAATATTTTTTTTTAATTATGGGGTGAGAAATTTCAGAATATTTCAGAATTCATTTGTATGAAAAATTCCGAGAGAAAATGTAAACTTTCCGTATATTTCTGAGTATTTTTGAAAAATGTTCTAATTCGTGTAAAAATTATGAAAAAAATTTTCACCAGGAATTCACCTGAGAATTCATGAGAAATTGCAAGTGCGATGGATCATAAACATGGCCAGACATGATTGTCGTGCAGCCACGTGCAGAATAATATTTATAAAAATAATATAATTATAACAATTTCTTCGAACAAGTATTTTTCGAAGCAAGTATAAAATTGTCGGGCTTCGCCATATATGAGAAATTCACACTTTATCGAATGGTAAGTGTATAGTAATAATTGGATTGGATTTTGGATTATATATTTGGTAATATTGCTTTTATACCTTCAAAAAAATGCATGCGGTAAGATTTTTTATTTGTTATCACATTCAAAATATTAATGTTATATAGTTAATTGAGGGTTGTTCGCATGCTCCAATATGTTCCTACAATAGCTCTTTATAGTCACTCCAACTCGAGGTTGATATGATAGGTGTATTTCAGATTATACGAAAACGAATCGGAGTTCATAGAAAATTCATTTTAAAGAAGACATACAGAATTAGAAAAATGAATATCTAAAGAATTAACCACAATTAGTTCATCTTGAAGTATTCCTCAGAAATTCATTATAATGAATACTTCGCGATTTAGTACTTTGAATACTCTGAGAATTCATGAGGAATTACAAATATACGCATACGCGATCGATAAGTTATAAACATAGTCAAACACGAAGCTCTCTACCGAGTGTGTATCGGAACGGACATGTTTCGTCTCGGCTTGGTGTTGCATCATCCTTAATTTTTATCAAGCTGATGAGCTTTTTTGTTTTCTTATTTTTGGACTTGTTATCTGCATTTTGAAACTAATTTATGGCCAAATCGTGGCCGAGCTGGCTGCGAGATCAATAACATAGTCCATGCATATGAAGCATGTAACGCAAACAAAGAGATTTTGAGATTTAGATCCAATTTCACAACTCATGGTTAAAACTTTTAACCGAGGTTTAACTTATTCATTATCTCTTTCCAATTCTAGAATTGGAAGAGATAAGAAATAAATTTCGGTTAAGAGTTAACCGTGAGTTGTAAAATTGGGCCTTACCGGAATATTTTATAACCCTATATGCCTATTCTAAGCACTTCTTCATAAGAATTCATAAGATATATCTGTTGATATATCTTGGATGGAACACTATATGAATGCTTTAAGAAGTTTTCAGAAATTCGAAACATGATGCATGAAAATTTTTAAAGTATTCTTATTGTGTTTTTGTATGAATTCCTAAGGAATTACATTCAGGAAAGAAGAAAACTTGAAGAATGCTTTGCGAATTCACTGTGTATCTGGGATAGAGCATGCAACGCAAATAAATTTTGTGGGAAATTTTACTGGATATTTTATAAATTATATGTCTTCCAAGAACTTCTCCTTGAATTCATAAGATATAGCTGTTGATATAAAGGGAACACTTCTGCAGATATTCGTTTTTCTAATTCTGTATGTCTTCTTTAAAATGAATTCTCTATGAATTCCGATTCGCTTCCGTGCTGTCTAGGATACATCTACCATATCAACCATGAGTGCGTTGAAGTAACTATAAAGAGGGGAAAGTTTTGAGAAATTTTCAGAAATTCGGAACATAATGCATGAAATTTCTTGAAGTATTCATATTGTGTTCTTTGAATTCCTAAAAAATTTAGGAAAGGAGAAAACTTGAAGAATACTTTCCGAATTCACTGTGGTATCTGGGGACTTCTTTTTAACTTAAATTTATGAATTTTAACAATAAAATATTTGATTGTCTTGATTAACATTTCAATATAACTTCTTTAATGTAGAAAAAATATTCACTTTTTGTCAACAGTAAATTAATATTCATTTTTTAAGCATTTATATCATTGGAGAGGGGGAGGAGGGGGAAGGAAGCACTCTTTATCTGCAGAGCTCTGCTTTGTTACATTGATTCTAACTGGATTATTCAGTTGAGATACCAATTTAAAACTCTCTATCAAAATATTATTCTTAAAAATATAAATTATAAATTTAAGAAAAAAAATTTCCGATTTTTTAATCTCAGGGATGGTGCTTTCTTTAATGAAAAAGATTTTCTTTATTGTAGTGTTTTAAAAAGCTCTTAAGCTCTCTAAACTAAGAGAATGAAAAATAGGAGAAATGTTGCTCTGACCTTGACAACGTTACCAAAAGTTAAACCAATGGTACAACCAATGGTAAAAAAACTTCTGTCTGAAACATTTTTCAATGTATTTTTCGAGAAATTAGCCTAATTATGATCGCTTTGTTACATCTTGTATATATATATATATATATATATATATACATATACATATATACATATACACATACGTATAAAATATAGGGTTAGTCTATATAAAATTATGTAGATAATTACCTAGATATATTGAGTCATCTAAAAAGTATACTTTGTCACTAAATATATGACTATCAACACACATCTATCTAGATTATTCTAAATAGTCTATTGTGAAACTTTATCTTATTTTTATTCAGATAATTATTAGGTGTTGGAATTAATTCGTAGCGTTTTACAAGTGATGGGAAATACTTTCATTAATGTATTTTTTAATGCTCATGTGAAATAAATAACATTCTTTCATTAAAAACGCTACGAATTAATTCCAACACCTAATAGAAAATATATATTATCTTTATTTTTATCTTAGATAAAAATATTATCTTCTTTCAAATTATCTTAATGTAAAATTTAGTACTCCTCTCCCAGTACAGAGGATTTTAGAACATCTTTTTTATAAACTAAATGTTTATGTTTAAGGATGATAGATCTGTACTGTCCACGATTTGTAATTCTAAACATTAAATTTCATGTATGTCAGCGCTAATTTTACCTATCATTTTAAAAAGGTACTGTTAATATTGAAGTATTTTAATATTAAAAATTTAAATCCAAAGAATTAGATTTCTACTTTTTATTCACATATCAAATAGATTTTCTTCAATTATACAGGGTGTCCTGAATTTAAATGGCCAAATTTCGGAAACATGTAAAGAATCGATAAATTAAGAAAAAAAGTTTTTTAGAGTTACTCGTTTTTTTGTTTAATTTTGAGAAAATAGCAAAAAAAGATAAAACGTAGTTTTAATTTTTATATTTATTTATTATTTATTTATTCACGATGTTACTTGCTTAAGAGGAAACATCACTATGACGGATTAAAAAAATCGATTTTTTTTTGCATTTTTATAATGCTTAGAGTCTTAAAAATGTCCTTAAAATATTATGTTGAAATTCGTAACGGTACTATAGTAAATATATGATGGAATGCACATCAGCTGCATAAACTAATCGGTTATAAAACTTTAAACTCGTTTTTCTCGAAACCAAACCGTTTTCGTAATTGAGCTCACATATCTCGGCCAATTTTTATTCGAATGACTTGAATTTTAGACAGAATGTTTACAACAAAATTGTCTTCAGTTAAGCGTACGAATTTTTTAATTGGATTACTAGTTTTCGAAAAATAATAAAAAAAAGTAACGATTTTTTTCGCAAAATCGCGACCTCTTTTTTTTTAAACAGCGCCATTTTGTCTAAAATTTTTTATTAAAAAATTAGTATGCTTAACTGAAATTACACTTATATACATTTTAAAATAAAAAAAAACTTTTTTATTTTAGAGCTCCCGTTCAGACGCAGCACGAGCGCCTATGTTTTTTTAGACGAGACATCAATGAGCACTAAGGCTAGAAATATTAATATTATTTAATGAATTTTTTGTAATAACTTCGTAAATGTATATACTTTGAATATATAAAGACAATAATTCACACAAGTTATTAGTTTTCACAAAAAAAAATTTATAAAAATAGCCTTTTTTCAGCCGTCATAGTGATGTTCCCCCTTAATGCAGATATTGTTCAAAATGTTGGCCTCTTGTAGCAATGCATGCATTGTATCTTGTATGGATAGCTCGTATTGCAATCAAACACTGATTTAGTTAACATAATGACTCGCCGATCCAGCACTCTCCTGTCTGGAAATCGGCGCTCATGTTCTCGCACTGCCTCTGAAGTATTATCGCTAAAATCGTATACGAAAACAATAATATTTCGCTTTGAAAATAATAATATTTCGAAAATTATATTTTATTATTTTTTGTGATTTTTTTTCTAAAACAAAACAAAATCGAGGATATCTCTAAAGGATTTTTTTCTTAGTTTATCAATTCCCTAAACACTCCTAAAGTTGGCCATTTAAATTTGAGAAACCTTGTATATAAATATATATACATATACATAGATAGATAGATAGATAAATAGATAGATACCTGAAGCGTTAGGGTAGGTACTCCAATTAAGAATGGCATAGGCGCTAATAAATAATCTATTAATGATAACGGCAGAACAGGGATGTATATATGTTGCCAAATCATTGGATAAATTAAAGCGTTGCATGCTTGTACACATGCACTCAACCTCGATAGACGTTTCGAAATGAAAATAATACGGCGTTCGTATAACATAGATGCGAATATCATCATCATATTATGCGAATCTACAGCACTATAATATTCAGTCAAGTTTCTCTGAAACAGTAAAATTATTATAATATAATACTATTTAGATATTTGACAATAATTTTATGTTTTAGATAAATTTCTTTTTCTAATACATATATTCTCAATTATTTTCAAATATATAGTGTTCCATTTTGAATAACAGATGAATAGTTTAAAATATAAGCCCGATAGGCAAAAATGTTCCAACAAAAGTTGTATGATCTTAATTTCTTAAAAAATTGATTTTATTGTTATTTGTCTCTCTAAAGAGACAAAAAAATAATAAAATCAATTTTAGAAAAAAATTTTTTTTAATGAAATTATATGATTTTTTATATAATCTGAACCTTTTTTTACATAATACATATCCTTCTAGTTATATATTCTGCATATAAATATTAACGTAAGGTTATTAAAAAAATCAATAATTTATGAAATATTTTATTCAAACATACTTTGACATAAAAAATAAACTATCGTGTAAACAGTTAATTTTTAAATAATTTTAGTGTTGTTAATTTTCCGGGAAATTTAAATCGTCGGGAAAGAACCCGGAACTAGGAAAAAACGTTAATTTTTTAATGTAAGTAATTATAAAAACATCAAGTGTCATTACTGAATTTTTTACTTTTAAAATTCAGCATAAAAAACAAAGTATATTAAGAGGATCCTAAAGCCATTTGTATTATCGTCTGTAACTAAATCGTAATTTTTGTATAAAAGTTATCTTTTCCCTCTTTTACAGATTCGAAAATTCTTTTCTAGGATTAAAGTATACGCATTAATATGCGTCTGTGAGGTGGTGTTTATGCCGAGAACGACAAAAAATTTTTCTTAAGATTTCAATTCGAAATTTTTTGTTCTCAGTATAAACTCCACCTCACAGACATGTATCACAGATGCGTATACTTTAATCTTAGAAAAGGATTTTCGAATCTGTAAAAATAGATAGATCTGTAGATAGTTGAGATAGTTGATACGTGTGACAACTGAGTATCGCCATATGTAAAGAAAATGCGGGTCATGCGCGTTAAGGTGATTTGTTCAAATATGGCAAAAAAACAAAATATTTTTAAAATTTATATAGAACTAATTTAATAAAATTAATAAGTCTGTATAAAGTTTAGGAAAGTTTGGGGGATCGATTTACTTGGTCGATTTATTGTAATTATTGAGTGTAATCGTTAAGAAAATTAAATTTTCCACTCGATTTTCCACTCTTTAATATTGCGCTTATGGCAGCCGAGATGAGTTTGTACATCTATACATCGAAAGCTAATAATGTACAAGACAAATCGATTCCAAAATTTTTTTCTATCTGGTTAATTGTATGCCGCAAAGGTAATGCTCTCGACCGTATGGTATTAAAATATGATCGAATAAAAAAATATAATTTGGCTGTTTTTCGACGCTTTATATTCGAGCTTAGACATGACGTAGACATGGCAACATTCTTCGAATGTTAGCGGTTTTGTATAGATTATAACATCGTATAATTTCTTTCAAATAGTATGTAATAGAATATTTTAAACTGGATATTATAACAAATATTTATCTTCTAACTTAGCAAATCGCGGGACCGCGGATCGAAAGTAAACATGCAACGTTGCCACATTTAAAACTCAGCTTCTCTACGCTGATGAAATTAGTGTTTCTGTATTTATTATTATTTTAATTTTATTGAATTCAATTATTAAAAAGAGTGCAATAGAATTTTAAAAAGTCAAGTTTTAAATTTTGTGCTACACTATTTCTGATATAATCAATCTTTTTAAAGATGTCAGCTTGACTAATATAGAACCACCTTAAACTAATTATTTCATTTCAATATTTACTTCAGACAAGATAATCCCTATATTGTAGAATCTACACTAACGTAGATTCTACAATATAGAGATTATCTACTAATGTAGAAATACTAATGTATGAATCTCTACTAATGTAGATATAATGTAAATTATAAATTATAAGCACTTACAATGCTTTTCGTAACATCAAATAAAGCAATTCCCCATTACGGGTTCTTTCCCTCAAAGCGCGGGAAGAAATGTTTTTCGTTTCCGTTCTTTTCTGGGTTTTTTCTCTTCCATGCAACATTAATCTTAATACCTTTATATACAAAATAGATGAATCAGTTAGTGTAAAGAGAAAATATATAGTTCCTGTTATTTAATATCACAACTATGCGAGTCAATGATAGACTTAAATATGTTTCTAAATTAAAGCATCACTATATAAAATCTAAAAATAATAAAGTATTTTATAATAATAATTTTATTATAACTAAAAATAATGAAGTATTTTATATACTTACAATAAATCATAATAAAATAAATTTATTATAATTAATTTAAAAAAAAAAAAGGAAAATTATCCGTAATATAGTAAATAAGAGAAATTAGATCGTGACAACGTCGCATTTTTACAGACGAATATAGGTACAAATTATCTGTCAAGATATATATTTACATGAAAGAAAAAAAATGTCCGCACAATTGCGTTATAAAGGAAAATATACCAAAAGTACAATTTCAGCAAAAAAAAAAAGTGTAAAGCGGCTCTCGCGAAGAAACGACAAGAATACGAGAGATAATCTCCTTGTCGATTCTTCAAAGTGCGACATTGCCATATCTAATAGACGCCCTCAGTTCTCGAAAAAAGGTATAAAATCAAAATTTTTTAATGACTCACAACTTTAATATCATGCAATAAATATTTACGATATTGTTACACGAGTTTCCTCACAAATTTAATTATTTGAAAATTGTTTTTCATTAACTTTTTTTGAATGTGATTTCGAGGCTAAATTCGTAACGCATCACAGCAAAAATAACTGTAATGGTAGATAAAAATCTGCAATGTTTGATCGATTATGTATCAGAAACGGAATGATAATTCGAGTTCATTTTTTACATGCATATATATTAATATTTAAATTACTTGAGATGAAAATTTCAAGACATTCTTGAATAATGCATATTTGGGATATAACTGTCTTAAAAAAAAATATAATCATATATTGTAATTGCACTATAATAAACTAATATGTTAAAAACTATTGATCTTTTGATAATTTTATTATACTCTTACAAAGATAATTAAAGGACTGATATTACTCCGGTGTAAATAAAATTATATAAAATATATTATGTTAAATAATATTATAAAAT